CCCCCTCCCCCGTTTATTATTTTCCAATTTGCCACGACTGACGATCATGTGAAACATCTAAAATCTAGATCTCTCGCTGAATACTGAATGAAACTTCTTTTTTTTTTTTGTATGGCAAATAACCCTCAGTATTAGTACCGGTACTGGGTTGGTTATCTCAAATTTGTGTTCATTTTGTAAAACTTTTGTACTTTGGTTTATATTATTTAAATATTTTTTAATGAAACTGGTTTGTTCCTAGTGAAAAGTTGCCACAGTAACTTAATATAAAATAACTAAAATTTCACGATCTCTTGTACTTTTATTCACGGAAGAAGAGATAAAACAGATTTGTTCCTACCAGTACAGGGGTATGAGGTCAAATGTGCCACCCCTCCAGGGTTGGTGATTTTTTAAATTCTTAATTTAAAGTATCGATTTTTTAAATTTAAGCCAGATTTTAAAAATTTGAATAAGATTTTTAAAATTAAAATTATTTTTTTAAAATGTCGACACAGTTTGGAATTTACTGTGTCGACGTTTCAGCAAGGTCACGTGACCCCTAAAATCTGCTGGAAATCTCGTAAGCTGCTGAGGACCCGAGGAAGTTGTTTCCTCTGCCATGCAGAGTGGCGGCTGACAGCGGTTCTGAGATATATAACAGACAGTGTTTTGTGTTCTTGTGGCTCAAAAAAAGTTGTCATAACTACAGGAAGTCCTTTTTAGAATCAGCACACTTCCGTTCAGTGTCGATATTTCCGGGGTTTGAGACCGTTTTCAGATACCTCCGATGTAATCGGCAGTAACAGTCTTTTGGCGAAGAAAATGCTGATCTCGTCGCTAGTGACCAGTTATTGGGTTAAAGAATAAACAAAGGGGGAAAGGGTTGTACGGCTGTTAGTGCAGACGCCACTGTATGCCTAGCGCCTCATTTGACTGTTTTGACCAATGGACTGCCCATCTCAGTGTGTTTGATGATAGTTACACATTTGGGGAAAGGAATTGACCGGAGACTTCTCTGTAATGTTTGTTGACTGTCTGAATGATGAATGTTTGGTGACAGCTTCTCCTCGTTTCTTTGTGATATTTTTTCCAGAAGACAAGGAAGCCAGCACAGTGAGGACAAGACTGGAGTGTCAACGACGGACAAGTTCACCGTTAGAGGGGGATGAATCCTGTGTAGATATGAAGGGGGAGGGAGAAGAAGACGGTCACTGTTCAGAGGAAGGTATGGAAGACGAGGAAAGCAGTGGAATGAAAGAGGAAATGGAAACTGGTTCAGCCGCAGAACGAAAGAATGGTGAAGGTATCGAGCATGATGGAGAAGACCAAGTTCTAGAGAAAGAGCAGCCGCTTGGATTTATCAAGCAAGAGATTGTAGATTGTGAAGTGAAGGAGGAAGAAGGCACTAGTTCTTGTGGTTCAACGGGGGAACCAAAACCTGACACGTTTGTGTCGCTGGGTAGACCAACTGTGGGACGGACAGCAAAACCTGACACGTCTGTGTCGCTGGGTAGACCATCTGTGGGACGGACAGCAAAACCTGACACGTCTGTGTCGCTGGGTAGACCAACTGTGGGACAGACAGCAAAACCTGACACGTCTGTGTCGCCAGGAAGACCATCTGTTGGACAGACAGCAAAACCTGACACGTCTGTTTCGCCGGGCACACCAGCTGTTGACCAGATACAAAAGCCGTTCCGCTGTTCCTACGAAGGCTGCGACAAGTCGTTCCGGCGCAGAGACAAGCTGGAGATTCACGTGCGGTCTCACACAGGGGAGGTAGGTCAAGTGTTGGAACAGCTAGAGATTCACAGGGGAGGTAGGTCAAGTGTTGGAACAGCTAGAGATTCACAGGGGAGGTAGGTCAAGTGTTGGAACAGCTAGAGATTCACAGGG